TCAGACTGGAAATTCCACCATGCTGTTTGACAACGCAGTTGGCGAATACCAACCAATTCTCCGTGCAAACACGCTCCTCAATCATCACCGAACTGATCGCACTATGTGGACATAGGGAACAAGACACACGAGTGTGATTCATCACCAGAATATTGCCAACAAGGGACTCAAACGTCTACCATGCAACTGCCTGACGACCAGTCAGTGTCGATGTACACCGATGCAAAACTCGTCGGAACAAATCTCTGACTGATTCGACTGCATTCTGAACTAGCTGAGTGGGTGATTAGTGTTACTGAGCGTAGGTGTACAAGCCGGTGCAGACGTAGCAATCGAATCCGTGTCTGTCTGTCTGTCTGTCTGTCTGTATGTGTGTGTGTGTGCGTGACTCGGATTAGTGGTGTGAGTCTGTGAATTAGTAGTGTGTCGGTAGCGACGTTGGATGACGTGAATGAAGTACGTGACGAGTTGTCGGCGATTTGACTTGTGAGTGTACAGACTTGTGTTGTGACGATCGGCGTTGCAATGTTGCTTGTATGGAGATGTGTGAAAATGTGTGTGTCGGTGACGTCCGTGATTGTCGTGACTGTTGTGAATGTGAGTTGTGGTGATCGGTGTTCGATATATTCCTTAAACTCCGTATACAGTTTGTCTCGGTAACCGTCACCAAATAATGCTCCAACGGTATGTTAATCAGAAGGCGAATACGAAGCGTTAATTACGTTTATTAAGGGACCACACACAGATATCCAAAATTACAGATGCGTTAAGCAAGCATTAAATAGTTGTGCCGAAAGGCAAACAGGCAAGCGATCGAGCGAGAGAGAGCAAGGGCAAGAGCGAGCGATCGAGCGAGTGAATGAACGAGCGAGCGAGTCATGAATATGAATAACATGGACATATATATACATAGTGAAATTAATGAATCATCGAGTCAATTAAGCGGTTAATAGTAAAGCTAGTAGCGTGAATAAATGCGTAGGCAGTAAGGCTTGCCGAGCATACATATTCATACAAGGATAACAATAATAAAGGTACATACATTCGCAACAGTAATAAGGATACAATAAGTTATTATAGTGCAGGTGACTTTGTCCGTTTAATAAGTTAATAAAAGGGCTTAACCGAATTAGGTGAGAGCAAACTCAATTGAACGTGAGTTGCTATAATAGCTCCTCCCAGCAAACAAAGATACAAAAGTGTCTGTGTTTGCGAAAAAAAATGTCAAATTTAACAAGATGGGAAATATCGAAATTTACGAAATTAAGATATATGATAGAACTATCGTATAAGTTATTAAAAATATGTGTAAGTTTGAGTTGGTATATGTCCGTTTTTCCAGCTTTTTCTATCGTAATAGTTTTATCGTTTCTTTTAATCACCTTGAATGGACCATCGTAGGCCGGTTGTAAGGGACGCTGCACATTATCCCTTCTGATAAACACATGGGTACTATCGGTCAGTCGTTTTGGCATGTAGACACGATGTTGCTGTTGCCTCGGAAGCGTTATCCTCAGATCACCCATATGTTGCTTTAGACGTTGTACATAGTTGGCTATATGCAACGGGGATGCCCAGGGACTATTAGACGGTCTTACGATACCAAGCTTCATCAATTTTTCGAACTCTCGTTTCGCAATCTTCAACCTATTTGGGTCTAGCCTCTGTGGTCTTGCGTTGGTCGGTGGACCTTTCGTTATAATATGGTGCTGTACAGTGTGTTTAAGATCTCTGTTATCGTATGATGCTCTCGTCAAATCAGTGAACTCATTTAGAAGCGCTCTATATGGCTCGCTTTTGTCTTTTGAGACTACTAAATTCATGGATACGTAATCGGTTGTCACTCCTTTTATCACTACTGAATGGTCTTCGTTCACGAGCCGGTTTCGTCGGGTATCCACTAGTAAGTCGAAATTCTTTAAGAAATCAATACCAATTATAGGTACGGATACATCTGCGATGACGAATTCCCAGCGGAATGAAGTGCTACGACCAAAGTTCAAGGTTATTTTACGCTTGCCATATGTTTTTATATCGGATTTATTTGCTGCCTTAAGCGTTAGCGCTGTATTGATATTTCGCGTTTCGTTACTCACTGGAGGCACAACGCTTACTTATGCTCCAGTGTCCACTAAGAACTGAGCACCTGTTACTCTGTCCTGAACGTAAAACAAACGACTGTTTCTAGGAGCTGTTCTAGTTGTCGCGGCGTTTACCGACAATCGGTGTGATCGTTTGAATTTACATGGTGGTCGACAGTTTCGAGCTTTGTCGCCAAAAGTTTGATGGTACCAACATATTGTAGGAGCTGGGCGTCTCCTAGAACATGATCGACTTCTATCTCTCGACCTACTTCGCGACCATTTTCTTTGTATATCGCTCTGATTTCGTTTCGTCAGCTTGTAACATAAAACGTTAATCTCCTTTTGTAATGCGTCGATTCGTTCATCTACTGTGGTATTATGTCTTTGCGGACTCGTTTGTTTCATCCTCTCGTAAATCCTATCGGCTATATTACCAATGTTGTCTATGTCGACATCGCTGTCCTCAATCGCGAGGATCTGCTGAACGTTCGGTGGGAGTCGTCGTAGCCATAACTGATAAAATAAGTTTTTATCTATTTTTCTGTTTCCAATTATGCTTCTCATATAATTTTTTAGCTGCGACGGAGTCCTATCTCCAATCTGCACTTGACTGAGAAGCTGCTCGACGGCTTGTCGGTCACTTAATGAGACGGCTTTAATCACAGCCTGTTTAAGTGCGTCGTATGGCTTTTCGATGTCTGGCTTAATTAAAACCTCTCGTACATTGTCGGCTACTTCATCCGGAAGTAGTGAGCTCGCATGGCCGAATTTATCTCGCTGTAAATGAACACGATTAGCAACAAAGTAATGTTCGAGTCTAATAAACCAGAGTTCAGGATCTGTGATCTTAAAAGGAGGAATAGTAACATTCATGGACCTCACGGACGAAATTTGTGGAAGGTCTATTGTGTCGTTATTTAAAGACATGATTATAAAGATCAAAAATTATACGTATATAATGTGAATGTCACGGAGAGAAGTAAATCGTTAAAAACAATGATAATACAAAATGGTACAATTAATTACAAGGAACGGACTTAATAAATTGCACCAAAATATCAATTGTTTGGAAAATATCGTTGTTTATTATGAATATTATCGTTATGTTCAATAATGTTTGTGTGATAATGTACGTATAATTAAAATGGTGACATAATAAATCCACAGTAATGATTATAATCCAAATGCTAGCTCGAATTGAAATAAAGTGCGTTGGATTCTCGGAGTTGGATTACGTCGTCGAAGATTGGTTCTTGCTCGCACGTTGGGATCACCAATTCTGTGGTGGTCGGTGTTCGATATATTCCTTAAACTCCGTATACAGTTCGTCTCGGTAACCGTCACCAAATAATGCTCCAACGGTATGTTAATCAGAAGGCGAATACGAAGCGTTAATTACGTTTATTAAGGGACCACACACAGATATCCAAAATTACAGATGCGTTAAGCAAGCATTAAATAGTTGTGCCGAAAGGCAAACAGGCAAGCGATCGAGCGAGAGAGAGCAAGGGCAAGAGCGAGCGATCGAGCGAGTGAATGAACGAGCGAGCGAGTCATGAATATGAATAACATGGACATATATATACATAGTGAAATTAATGAATCATCGAGTCAATTAAGCGGTTAATAGTAAAGCTAGTAGCGTGAATAAATGCGTAGGCAGTAAGGCTTGCCGAGCATACATATTCATACAAGGATAACAATAATAAAGGTACATACATTCGCAACAGTAATAAGGATACAATAAGTTATTATAGTGCAGGTGACTTTGTCCGTTTAATAAGTTAATAAAAGGGCTTAACCGAATTAGGTGAGAGCAAACTCAATTGAACGTGAGTTGCTATAGAGTGCTTACGTGTGCTTTTCTGTGTTTTAGGTGGAGTTAGGAATTTTTGTGAACTAGTTATTGAGTGAGTGATAACTCGTTTATCTTTATGGTGATGTGTGCGTTTGTGTTGCCGTTGTTTTTATGGTTGATTGTAATGATGATGATAATATATATTTGTTTTTTCCTGTCTTATAGGTCATTTATTTTTTTGTCCTACGAATTAATAATTATCGAACTGATATATGATCCTTTGTTATTTAATATATCTTAATCTAAAAGTAGCTCCATTTTCATCATGATTCCCTCTTTGATCGACCACTATTGAATATTCAGAAACTATGGACCGAAATTTTTTCTAGTTTTGGACGCAGAATTATGTATCTACGATCCGCAACACCAGAATCACGCGCTCACTAGCTTCAAAGAAAATTACTGAAGTTTTAGTAAGAAGCCATGATCAGTAGACTTTAGTGTCTAGTACTATATCAAGCCCGTATGAATTATTTTACCTTCCGAACGGATCGATTTATTTAGTCTTTCTGAGTCACATTCTGACCTTTTCAATTATTCGCTAACAACCTTGACTGTTTTTATATGAGTGTGTATATGTCACTTACTCTATTCATCACATATCTTCTGGTTATTTTTATCTGGCTATAAATATTGAGTCAAGCTTTGTAAACTTAAGCTGACACGTTTAACTTCTCCGATCTGCTTTTGCTCTTCGTTTCTTTGATTGTCTCTCTAGGTTGAATGTGTGAAATATACGTATCCAAACTTCATTCTCCCCTGTTTTGACTTATTTTATTCCGTTATACACTAATGCTAATTAAGTCAATATAAACAGGTGACAATATTTTGATCTCAATTTTCTTGAGCCTTTATTAACATTCTTTAAGTCAGTGATAAGATTGACAATTTGAGAAAACGTTAAATTATTGAATAATGAATATGCTGTATATTCATGAATACAATTAGGTTTTGGGATGGAGGGAGAGAGAGAGAAAAGAGGGGGGGAAATACATTTTGGTTTTGAAATATTTATAAAATGCATCTTTCGTCATTCTGATTGATTTATAGTGGAAAAATTAATTGTTCAAATCATTTTGATTCATTTGTTTGATTCGTTTCAAATCGATTTGTTCCATTTCACGTATTAACTTTATTATTGATTAATAAGAAAACACAAAGAAAATAGAGAACAGATATAATTCCAATAAATTAAGAACAACTTAAAGTAATAATTAGTTTATAGAGATTTTCTCTATTTTAAATTGGTTATACTGATTGAAATGATATCAACTAAAGTATTGTTGAAATGATGAAATCTGTGAATAGCTGTTAAGTGTTAGAGACATTGAAGGAAATGGCTCAAAATCGTTTACAATGGCTCAGGTGTATCTACTCTTTGTCTTCTCCCAAATACTAACCTTCTGAATTCTTCATATCCTTTTGTTTTTTTTCCTTTTCCAAATTTATTTCACTGGATTATACTCCTTGACTAACATCTTCAAACCTTAATGTTTCTGAATACTGCTTATACTTTTACTACCTCTACCATTATGGGATTTGAATCGACAATTGTATCTATGTGCTAATGTGGTATGGCAACTCGAACTGATGTACGTATGTACAAAGTTTTACGTTATTACTCTGACTGACTGACTGAGTCGTTTCATTCACTAGTAGCTAGTTTCTAGTGATGATTCTTGGAGTTATAGTGAAAAGTTGTGACTATTGGAGTTCGACCATGTCGAATATAAGACAACTATAAAATAATGGAATGAATTGAATAAAGTTAGGTATTTAGATCATTGAATACTGGTTCTAATCTGACATATTTTTTTTATTTTCTGTAATGTTATAAAATATCAAGAAATCATTTTACCTAACTAAACAGGTAGCACATTAATCATTTTAAACGATAGTATCAAATTTACTGAAATCAGAGAACAACTCAAATCGAAAAGAATAAATATACAAATTACATGAATCACAATCTTAAAGATGAAGAATCTAGAATCAATTGTAATTCTACTTTATAATATAGTATTAAATAAGATTGCAAATCCGTACTGAGTTATTAGGGAAAGTTATTTATAATCATTCTCAAACAAAAACAATTGCCACCAGCGAACTATCAATCTTCTCATATTTATTACAAAATGTAAATCTAAGTTAGTTACATTGGTGTCTTAGTTTTAGAATAATCATTCGGAATAATGTTATTCATCGTCAGTTGACTTTCAAATCAATTTTTATCTATATATATATATATATATATATATATATATATACATATAACTAATGAGTGCATAACACTGGATAACATGGAATGTGGTCCCCTCTTTTGTTTTGAAAGATGCTCTGATGATTTTGGATCCATGTGATTTCCATCCTACAAGTGCTTTACGTGCTTCATTGTACAGCGTTAAGGCAACTCACTGAGTGTGTGGATCATTTTCGTCCTCGTGACCAGGGTACAGCCGCATCGTTCTTAAATCTAATCTTTTCTGTCCAGCTTAAGCCTAATATGTTTTACTTATTCCGAACACCTATAACTTGTATCTCCTCATATCCGTAGCTATTTGATTGGTTCTTCTGGTCTCCTAAATTGTCCGAACATTCCATGTACCTATAATAATTGTTGCTCTGGTTGTTAGAATGGTCATTGGCCTCGTGAATTCCGAAGAATCTCAGCTTTCACCATGAGGCGTCATAATTCTTCTGAATGAACATCGTTCAACTCGAAGGGTCGAGTTTAAATGGTTTGAATTATTTATTCTGGTTAAGATTTTTTAGCAACATTGTTTTCTAAGGGATGGGGATACTGAACTGATGCCCAACACTCCTTCTTTACCCGAACTTGGGACCGTAAGTAACCCAATATATTTACGTAACATGTTTTATTGTATTGGTTTAGATTACAACATAATGAAACAAACTATTGAGAGGAAGCAGTTAATAACCTTCTATCGACACTAATGGAGACTAACCTTTTAGAATGTAAAACACACATAAGTAATGTTAGATTTTGATTTCGCTGTTGTTATTTATTGTTTATTATTTTGTAAAAATAATATTAATTTTATGAAGTAATTGATGTTAGCATCAGTCTATGAAATTATGCACTACCGGTAGACGAGACTACAGAGTTAGGTTGAAGACTTTGGGTAACATGATTAAGAATTACTCACATTGATATGGATACATTCACTCTTCATCTTCCTTTGGATCTTGAATTAAAGTATTCCTTCATATGGGATCTTTTTATGCTGTCTAACTAAACAACATCTTAAATGCCTAGTATTTTTCATTATTAATGCTACAACGTGATTTCGATTCCTATGCTATTTCCCCTGTTAATTTCACTTCGTTGTACTGATAAAGTACGGTAACTAGGATTAACACACATTTGTATCGGGCTTTACATTAATTATAACTTATAATCATATTGATGTTATTCAACCAAGCTCGATCTTACAAGCTATTTAATTTTGATAATTGATAACTGTTAGATTTTAGTTGATGAATAGCATTATTTAAAACTTAATTATGTAATTCTCATCAGCCCTAATTAATGGAATATAATTTCATTGTTGTTTGAAACTTAGTGCTACATTCAATCAAATCCTTTTTGACCCCTTTGTGTATACGGATTGTTAATTATTGCCTATTTGTCGATCTGAGCTAGACCACCATTGAAGCCCAGAAACACTGGATGGCCGTTTCACCCTAGTACAGGACTTTTTGGCAATGCACATTCATGACCCCGCACGCGGAGATCAAGCCCGGAAGTTTCAATCTCGTGCACAATCACTTCCCCTCCAGACCAGTGGGCCGGTCTAACTTCAATGATCATGAGCAACCCTTCATCTATTGTTTGAGGTGGATAACTGTTTCCATCCGACATGGATCGGACTCTACTGATCACGGCTTCACACTAAACATACAACGGAAAACAGTTTCTTTTCATTCAACTCACTTGAGATATTTCTGTTTCAACAGTTGTTTGATATTCTTTGAGTCGTCCAAGTTTTCTCATTTGTGTTAAAAATTCACTTCTTTCATTAACTTCATCTATTACTGATATAAACAGACCAGGAATAAAAAATAAACTATTTAAGCGGTTAAAAATTAATCAAGACAAACGAAATAAACGATATTGAAATTAATCAGTTCAAAAGACTGTGATTATTTTAATCAGGATTTAAAGAATGTTAGACAATAATAATTTAAAACATTAATATTTATGAATCAAATAAACTGTGAAATGAACCCAATACCAATAATTCCTCAAATCATGAACACATCATGTTTCATTAAAGATTATCAATTTTTTGTTGATATCTGTTATATCCCGACAAGAATAATGAATGGTAATTTTGAGATCCATTTATGGACCAATAGTAAACGTATATTTTTATCTTATAATTATTAAATAACTAAACTATTCATATTCATGTTCCTCTTATTATGAGCTTTATTCTGACCTATGAACTATTATTATACGTCTTACCATTTTTGAATTATGCCCTGTCTATCAGTCACTGTCTCCCACATTCACAACCACATTTGGCCAAATTTTGTACGAATGTTATTTTCTATTTTATGCTATGTTGTGGTTTCTTTGATTGGTATATAAACTCAATATGTTTGAAATATAATGATTCATATTGCAGAGGTTGAGAGTGGCGTTTTGGACTTAACTGGCTGGGTTAGGCGGAAAGTAGGACCAATCAGAACTCTACGCTGCTCATATGTGTTTACGCGTCCTTGGTCCAATCGATAATTCACTGCCCTCTAATTGGTGGTCCAACATATAACAATATCCAACATCATGTTCATCTTATCGTCTTTTTCACTTTCATTGATTTCCACTCACCTTAGTTGTAGAATATTCATTAGCTCATCAAGTGGTTTCCTATCTTTGCGTAATACCCTATGCATAACTTTAGAATTAATTAATCCGTAGACGCAAAGTGTATGAACGATACTTCAAAAATAGCTATAAGTGACTACTTACAACTTATGTTTATCTTTTAATGGCCATATTTCATAAACCTAAAGTAAAACAGCGAGAACTATTGTTCAGTATGTTCGCCCCATAGTTGGCAGACAAACATCTGGCCTATCATGGCTGGTATAAAGTGTAACAGCTAGCATCATGACACATTTGCATCGGGTCTTATAATGTTTATACTTGTTAGTTTTATCTTTAAAGTATGTATTCACATCTAATTTTTCCTAATAAATTCTGTGTGATTATGAATCTAACTGAAAAGTAAACGAAACAATTCTAATTTGTTTAATTAATTAAATATAATATCACATACATTCTTCAAATCTATCCTTATTGGTTTTAATTTGTTTATCATTATAATCATTATCACCATCGATTTTGGGATATTTCAGTATACGACGACCTAAATATTCTAATCTTCCATCTTTGATTTCATCATTTTGTAATGACTTCCATGTAGGCTCTTCACCATATGTCATTAAATGTGCTAAACGTAGTTTTTCAGCGGCTCCTGTATTTATTGTAACTAAAGAAAAAAGAGAAGAATGAAAATGAAATCTATTCATTATAATGGCTGATTATACTTTACTAACCGACTAATTTACTGAAGAAATCTACACTTTTACTTACAAATCTTTTTCATGATTCATTGTAATTTTTCATTTTTATTTTTATCTAATATTTGTATATGGGGTTTAGTGGAAACTGCTGAACATTCATAGTTTATATAATAGACTGATCTTAGATAACAAGTTAGATAACCAGAAAGCAATAGACATCTGTTTCATACCACTGTGAGATTACTCAGCAATGTGAATCTAAGAATCTACCCGGGGACAGAAACCATGAGTTCTAATGAGTAGCTAATGTGAGATGGTTTTGCAATATAGCGAATTGATTGAAGTGAGACATGTTTGATAACGCATGCCGGCTTAGTGGTCCAAAGGTCAAATATTAATCATTAGATCTGATTGTAAATGATCACTAATAACGATCCCGATACTAGTATGGAACAGTTATTTTTGGCTTTCTTGTTTACATATCATTCCATGTAATAAACTACTGAATACTTGTCAACAGATACTTCTTAGTCATCAATATTATAACTAAACGTTTCTTTAGTCTTTTAATTGATTGGTTTAGTATGAATAATAATTGATCCTAATCATTTGACCGCTTACTTGTTAGTTATAGAGAGTTTTCATCCTAAATAAAATGTTTATTTTGCCTTAACTTATTCAGTTTGTAATGAGATTATTGTATTCATGAATTTCATAGGAATAAATTTTAACAATTGTTGAGGTATTTAAATGCTATATCTGCATAATTTCTTTATTACTGAATGTATTTTTTAATGTTCAGAATTACATTAGAGAGACAAAGTGTTTATCCATATTTACAATATTTAAAGTCGAATTCAAAGATATACTCTACTTAAAATTTTGTCAAAATATTTAGATACTTAAATGGTTTGTTATGAAAAATCAAATATAAACCATAAACAAAGGTTTATAAGCAGAGATGATGGTGAATAGCAGTAAAATTCATGACTTGCGTTTCGTCTCACTTGGGACTCGTCATCTAAATGTACTTGTATCCTAGAGTTGATGTTCACTAGCTTGTGAAATGGAGTGAAGTTTAATTCATTTCTTTATTGGTTATTTGAATCTTTCTATTAATGTTTAAGACTGTAAATGATTATCTATGTTTATAATGTTTGTGATTTAAAACAATATCAAGGTTATTTGCACAGGATGTACATATATCAATAAGAGACAGTTCAATTGTAGTCATAAACATCAGTGGAAAGATTTAAACAACCATTACAAAGAGTAACATAAACAAAGCTGTTTTATTTCAACAACATATAGATTATTGTAGAAATTTCAGTATGAACCAAATAAATCAGCATAATATGGAACATGAATAGCTCTAATTTCAAGTTTATGTTCACAGTACTTGTACTTTTAATCAAACCATACATTAGGCTGTTGAGTTATGAAAGTTATTATAAGCAGTGACTTCATGAACTTTATTACTTAGAGTCGATTAAATTTCACATAAACTTACCAGATGAAATATTTCTTTTATCTATATAAAATGAATGATGTGTTCTTCTACAATTTGTACTTGTAATTCAAATTGTAAATTTTTCAACTTACATGGTAACTATCAGTTTACAGTGAGATTTTATTGATTTTTCGGTTAATTTTAATGATTTTTTCTTGATCAAATTATAAATTTTATTAGATACTTCAATACAACCATCATAATATTTATTTATTTATTTTAACATGTAAATATTGGTACAAGGGGGCATCGAATAGATATGCGCCACAAAAGCCACTCGATTTATGTGTTGGCTGTGTTAGTGCCCGGATGCCCAGATCGAAGTAGGTAGTTTTCTTAGGGGACCACACCTGGAGCCTTCGCCCTAAAGATCTGATCCAAAAGACAGTGGAGCAATGTGAGGAGATGCAGTCTCATGGAAGCCAGTGACCAAAGATAGATTCATATGCCATTCGTTTCCCCAGGATTCAGGGGTCCATGTGCAACATTGGTTTGAAATCAGGGTTGTTCAAATCCCCTAGTTGGATCCTCCATATCCACCAACCCGGCTAAAGCTCCGGACATTCGATTTTCGTCACCTAAATTTCGTAAAAAACGCCCGCGCCGGGAGAAGGAGGTGAGTAGGACTTCCCTGGAGGTGGATGTATACACGTGGCCATGTGAGACCCTCTGCCGTACCAGGGCATTTGGGGGCCATCATGATAAGTTTAATATTCTATATTATTCAGTGAATCAAGTTGAAATATTTCATTGGATACATGTCTATAAGTCCACTCGAATATATATCAGTTAGGATGTAAATATATTTCTTTACAAGACATAAAGGTTTTAAAAGTATCGTTGATTTTAATCCATGGACATAAACATCATCAAAGAAATTTTACTCAAAAAATCGAACTACTAATAAGTAGTATATAACGTATGGCGTCAAATCATGAAACGTGATTTCATTTTTTAACTGGCTTGGGTTTTAAGCTTTAGTGATAAAATTTTGAAAATTATTGTTATATCTAGTCAACATACATTAAATAATATCTCATTTTCACTTCAAACAAATATTAACCAATTAATGACATATAAGATAAATATTGTACCTATTACTCTAACAGATCAATCAGTAAAAACTTAAGTTATGTTGTCCAGTTTTGAATATTGATTAACCTCTATTAATCAGGTGGATTGTCGCCAAACCGCTCAAATGAATTTGTACTGAGGCGTAAGTCGGTTGTTATTAGTGGACTGGATTTAAATGTCAATTGTTAGTAAGATTCTCATTCAAATCATTAGAGTACTCATTATATATGTAAATTATATTTGAAATATTGAAATTTCAATCGCTGAGATTATTTCAAATATAATTTACATATATAATGACTTCTCTATACTCGGTGCCCAATATCTGTCAAACTATTCGTTCTAATCTTGACTAATACTCGTATAAACATCAGAGTACTGATTTCCGCCTACAGAAAGTAGAATCGAGCTGTGCAATTTCTCGGCCAGAGACATTACTCCTAGGCTTTTTGGGAAACCAATAGCATCAGTTATCTAAAGAATATAAGAAACCATTCTGACAATTACCAATTAGCAAAACTTTCAAATCTATAGCTCTTCTTAAATGCTTTTTACAGTAGCATAACGTGGAACTATTTGTGATGTTTGTAAAAATTGATAATTGCTTTGTACATTATTACGCATCTAATGTTAATTATAAATGCAATAGCTACAAATCTATTCATCTTATTCCTAGTAACATAAGTGTCGGCTTTTAAACGACTGCTAGAGTAGTAACAGACAATCTTGGGAATAATTAATATGTATATGAAATCCAGTTTTTCTACTACTTTCCACGGTTATATGCACGAATAGTGATTTATATTTACGCCATTATTTAAGCGGTAGTCAAGGATTTAGATTTTCACATATTCATTAGATTATAACTTCAGAAATTCAGCAATTCATTTATTTGAATTAATTGAGGCGATATTGTCATAAATGATGGATACATTTACCGTTCAATTAAATGCTTTATTGAAATCATGAACTGTTATGTTTTCGCTCTTACGGTTATAACCCAGCTATTCCTATTGCTTAGTATTCACGGACACAGATTCACTCGACAAGGCCCCAAATCAGAACACGGTTGAACAGGAAAGAGATTATATTCCAAATAACAAGGTTAGGTGGAAGTAAGAAGCAAAATAGGAAAACCGTTAGTGTATTTATAGCTTTTTACATAAGAAGAATCTAGAAGCTTCTCCATGTATAGACTAGCGCTGATTGGATAAGAACCAGCCAATCAGCGTGCGCCAAAGCAATCGTGCATTGAGCATGCTTAAATCCAATCTATGTCCCACTAACACCTCCCCTTTGAGCAGATTCGTAGGATCTGGTGCTAGGGTCCAACTGAAACCGAGTGACTGGCCTGTGCTTTCGATTTGTCCATCGTCTAGGCAATAAAGAAGTATCACTCTTTGCTTGCACAGAAACTGACCTGTCTGTTCCAGGCGTTTTGATTTCAAAGGTGTCTAGCAGAACATCAAGAGGTAATCGATATTGAATCTCGTTGCTGGCTATCGAAGTTGCTTTCAATTGGTTAGCATGACGTACCCAAACTTCTGAGCCAACTGACACCTCATAAACCACACTCCCCTTCTTTTTCAAGATCCAACCAGCTGTCCATGTAGGATGTTTCTCACGGTAGTCCATAGCAAGTACTTTTTGTCCCACCGTGAACAATCGTTTTTGTGCCCCATGATGTCGATTGAACTGATTCTCCATAGATAGGTTTCGTTGAGGCTCAAGAGCTGGCGTAGGACGGATGACATCGAAATGTGTTCGTATTTTTCTGCCAAGTAGAGCTTCTGCTGGAGAGACCCCCTTAATCGTCTGAGGGTTCGGTGTCGAGCGATAAATAAGCAGGAACCTCTCTAAGATCTCTTCGGTGGTCCCCTCCCCTTTAGATTTTTTTAGAGCATTTTTAAATGTACTCACAAAGCCTTCCACTTAACCATTTGATTGGGGATGGAATGGGGGTGTTCGGACGTGATGGATTCCGTTCTGCCGACAAAATTTTGAGAAAATTACGGACGTAAACTGTGTTCCGTTGTCACTAACTATCAATTCCGGGACTCCGAAACGACTGAATAGTTGACGTAGCTTACTGACTGTGCAGCTTGTAGTCGGGTGTTCCATGAGAAAGATTTCTGGCCACTTGCTATATGCATCAACTACCAAAAGGTAAGTTTGTCCATGAAGTGGACCAGCAAAGTCCAAGTGTATACGCTGCCACGGTGACTGTGGTATTGGCCATGATTGCAGCTCTGCTTTTCGCGGTGCTTTCGTTGCTAATGCACATTTGGTACATGAACGGGGTAGCTGCTCCAGTTGAGTGTCTAAATGCGGCCAGTATACATAACTTCGTGCTTATGCTTTCATGCGATTTATTCCAGGATG